GAGTAGTTTACCTCCGGATTGTTTTGCCTCCAGAGGAAACATCTCGCGTACATGGTATCTCTGTTTTTGGAAAGAGACTATCCATGAAAAGTGATAATGTTGTAGTTTTTCCATTTGATTTCCACATAGCAGTACAGCAGCCATTCAAACCACTCTAGTCACGCCTGCTGCTATACGAACTTGAACCATCTCGAGCATCATTTGCTCTGTGCTTCAAGTCGCAACTGATGACGCTGCTTCCGACATCGGTTTTTGGTGTCTCTCTTCGTCTGATGCCTACCCTTTGACCTGTCCAGCAAGGGAGGCCCTGCCAGTATCTACGCTACCGCTGATATAGCTCTCAGGGTCCTTGTCATATTCAAACCCCCTCACCACGATAAGGTGGAGACACCAAAGAGGGTGGTTCGGCTATATGGGGGAAAAATTTATGGAAGAAGTTCACCATGGCGATGAATCTTACAATTCCCTTTACATCCCGGGGAGGTGGGAAATTCTTAATTGCTTCGGTTCTACTCGGATCCACGGTGATTCCTGAAGGTGAGACTATATGTCCAAGAAACGACAGGCGGGCAGCAGAAAATTTAATCTTATTTGGGTTAACAGTAACCCCGCCTGACGCAACCGACTGAAAACCTCATGCAAATGGAGTATGTGTTCCTCAAAGGAATCACTATAGACTACTAAGTTTTCCAAATAGTGGAAGACGAACTTAAACTTTATGTCCGAGAAAACCTTATCCTGGAGCCGTGTTAAAACCTGCGCTCCGGTGGCCAGCCCAAAAGGCACTCGAGTATACTCATATAAGTTCCAGTCAGTGGCAAAAGCAGTTAATGCCTTGGGTCACTCAGTCAGACCAATCAGATGATAATACTGAATTTAGGTCGAGCGAAGTGAAAACTTTGGCCCCTTTGAAACAGTGTAAAAATGAGTGTATATCCGGCAATGGCATCGACATGATTATGATGTTATATTAAGGGCACGGTAGTCCACAACCGGACGAAAACCATCTTCGCCTTTGGGGACGAGGAAGATAGGACTCGAATACTGAGACGTAGAGGGTGTAATGATACCCTCGTCCAGCATTTGACTCAAGATATCCATTTTATTTGGCGTCAAACTGTAGGGCGGGACCTTAACCGGAGATGCGTCCAGTAGCTCAATGTCATACTTTAATAGATTAGTTAGTCCAAATTTAGAGCTTAGGACGTCTGGAAAATGCTTAATGAGCTGCTTCAACTGAGTAGCGCTTACGTTACTCAAATAGGAAACTTCAGGGTGCGACTGGGAAGCAGTGAACCCCGCGAAACCTCCAGAGTCGAAAATCGACGCTGTAAGGTCATTCTACTTGTGGGGCCAAATTTACAGAAGGCAACCCCTGCCTGTATATCAATCATCAAGCCAACATTGACCAATAAATCAGCCCCCAAAATAACTGGTTGGATCAAATCCGGGACCACATAGGAAGGAAACTTCCACGTATTCCTGTCAATCCTGGCCTTGCAATTAACCCCAATGTGCACCGGAAAGATGTGCGCAGACGCAGTGACACATCTCGCAGTGACGTTTTAAGTGCGTATAGTGGGGAATTTCTTCTTAAGTTTCTCATAAACGGTAACCGATATTAATGAACGCACAGCCCCTGAGTCTAAGAGCGCGTGCACTGGCCCGAAAACCAATTCCTCTTGAAGACAGGGTAAATGCTACTCAGAAACACTCAGTATACTCTGACTCTGCAAGGTAGAAAACATGTGAGTATCACCCATGGGAATGGCAAAAGGCACGTGGGGACTAGACGACTGTGCGTTAACTTCTAGTCAATTACGTCGACCTTGGGATAAAGGCGGCTGCCTATGTAATGCCGATCACTTAAAACTGCACTCTCGCTGGATGTTCCCAACTTTGTTACAGCGATAAAAAACCTTTTGGGAAGGTTGTGAATTGGGGTTACCAGACACAGAAGGCTCGGCAAGAGTCATAGGAGTGAGTTGATTGCTCTATCGGGAGCTCTGACTCTCGTCGCTTGTGAAAATATTGAGTGCGTATATGAACATGTTTTATAGATCGGCATAGGTGGCAGGTGTATCACAAAAAACTAGCCGACTTCTTTCCCGAGGGAGGTTCCCATTGAGGATATTTCTGACTACCACTGCGTCGTCCGCATCCTGAAGCAGAACAGCATCGATTTTCTTAATGTCGGTAATATAAACAGATATGGGCTCGTTGGCCCTTTGGGTTCTCAAATAATCGGAACATATTAGTGTCAACATGGCATATGCTGTAATAAACAACTCAAGAATACTCTCATGATGAGCTTGGAGAGTATCCCCACGCCGTGTTGCATCAAACGTTTTTGAGGCCAATGCCCCCTTCGTGAAACTATAGAAGACTTGGAAGACGTGAACAGGGGGCACTGGAAACCCCGTAAGAATGTGCTTAATCCGCACTGTAACTCGCAAAATTTTGATCAACTGAGACAACTCCAATCCGTCCGTGACGGGAAGATCCTGAATCATTTGCTGTACTGGATTCGGCAATTTTGCGAAGACGAAGGGAAAGGTAAAAATACTACCAGGATAAGTGGACACCCCTGTGGCGGGTAGATTACCCAAGATTGAGCGACCGTTTCGTTGACTGGCCTGAGCCACGACAAGAAGAAGTGAAGGGGTCCAATGCTCCATGTGTGGACCGGCAGAACATACAACAGCTGATTCGGCCCTACCTTCAGCGTTGTGCAAATTGATCGTACTTGCAGCGGGCGGCGGTACTGATGACGTATGCTCTTCTGTCTGCATATTGCTTTGATTTCTGCCGAAAGTGACTGCACTTGCTCACGCAATGTCAGGGCGGACGACTCCAACTCGGGTGTTATCTTTCTAAATTGGAACAGATGGCGAAGCCGAGTACCAAGATGGGCATGTCTATGTAAATAACGAGGGAAATCAACGAAAACATGGGAACTGTCCGTGTTTTCCACCAACTCTGTGATTTGCAAAATTTGTCCTGACAAAGGAAAGAATAGTTGGCGTATCCTTCCAACCTTTCGTAGTGATGAACTGCTCGGCGTTCACTTCAACATCGCTCGAGGTCCTGAACAACGCTCTCAGTGCAGCCACATTCAAGCCATCGATAGGAACCCCTCGAATGCGAGCTCACATTCCAGTAAGTCCCTATGCAAATACTCAGGCAGTACTGTCTCTATAGTCATAATGAAAACAACAGCAAGAAAACAGAAAACTAGGACAACGACCGAAAGATCCCCAAAACCAAACCACGCTCGGCTACCACTTTGAAACGTGAAAAGTTCTTGAAGACCGAAATTTGGTTTTTGGGTAGGTCGTACCAACTCAAAGACACTATAACAAATATATCAAATGACAATATATATATATATTAAGTACTAAATGCGAATACAATGTAAGTCCCTGGAGGAAATAGGGCTCCGGCAATCAACCAATCAAAATCGTACAGACCAGGAAAAGGGTGAATCGACTGAACACTTCAAGCTCCCATAAGAGAATAGATCACTCTTGTTGCACCTCAGCCTTCCGGAACCAAGAAGTTGATCAGCGGAAGGGGTAAGGTAGTAAAGGGGGGAAAGCCCTCTGACGTAACGCAGACACGGCGTTATATCCTGGACAGACGTGTGGTCAGTAACTTGGCCAGCGTTTACCTACGGTGTGTGTAATATAGGCATATTTTAACTCCGTGACTTTAGCTCGCAAGCGAACTATACCGACCGAGCGACAGCCGATTGTCTGCGAAGTTTAGTGCCAACTTTTGAATCTCATTATTACATCAGATAACTGGAACTGCCTATCCGAATTTCGCTTAGTCCGCCCGGTGTTAAGTCAAATCAATTGCTCTTTCTAAATTAGTCATCCAGATTAATCAAGTAGAAATTCCTTTCGAATTATTTCGTATGACCCTATGTCCTGGGCGCTATGAAATTAGTATCCCGCGCGTGAGCATTCTCTCTCTGTTCCAGGACACTGACCTGACTTCACCATCAGGAACTCCCGAACTATTGCGGTGCCGCTTGCTACGTCACACATTCCTAAGTCTTTATTTTAAATTAGCGAACACGAATGAGCGACATGGCTTTCATTGAAGTCGTTCTGTATGCCACTCTTTCCCTGTTCGTATAGCCTGCGAATTGCTAGTCAGCGAGATTCTCATTAAGACTGCCGTCTTCTGGGATTGTGAGGCCGTGCTGTTTGGCATATAGGTGCCAGTGTTTCAGAGGAACCTCTTGCCTCCTTCTTCAGGATAGAATATTGATTTTGATCTCGTTTAGCTTAGTTTCGGATGAATTTCCAGTCTTCCATGTTTGTTGTAGAAGAGCGGGGTGTCTCATGTTGTGACGGTTGATAAAGAAGTTGTATGTTGTAACACAACAGGATGCATTAAATGAATATTATCTGGAAACGTTTCGGGACCGCCTTCAGGGCAGAAAAAGGGATGTTAGCCGTATAGTCTGTTAGATGTTTGGATGGAGAAATCTGATGCCTCCATTAACGTTTGAGAGGAAACTGCTGTCTCCAACTCTAGGGTTATAGTAAAAAAAATTGACGTCGTGTATTTTACCAAATTACTCGACGCGAATTCCAGAAGACAATGAACTTTGTAGAAAGAAGGAGAAGTTGTCTGTGTCGCCATATCGACTGCGCTTCTCGGGCTTCCTCGGTATTTTTTTAGGCCTCAGTACCCGTTTAAAAGTTCTCGCCCATCTCAATATACAGGTCCAAACTGAAACATTTTAAGGACAGAAAGCGTAATGATTTCTGCCTAGATGTCGTTGTTGGTGCTATTGACATTACATCAAAAAATTCCCACGGCCAAATCTTAACATCCAATATTGAAGTAAATAAGCAACGTGTTCCGAATTTGTAGTTTTCCTCAGAATAGCGACTGATGATTTTATTTTGTGGGGAAAGAATAATTTTAAATACAATAAAGGCCTAGGAAATGCCCATCCGTCCTAGGCGACAGATGACAAAAAGGTTTCATTGAAGATCCATGTGCTGTGCCAAATGTACATCAGCCCGTTCAGCGCAGTCGGCAGTGATTTCTGTGGCTGTGTCACAAAGATCATTGGAGACCACGAGTGACCACAACCGTCACGATTGGAATAAACTGATGCGTCTTCAGTGCAAGATATTACGTTCTAAGTGGAAGTGTATGAGTAGTGGCTGTTCTTTAGGAAATTATTAGGATCATTCGATTTCCTCATATTTTGGGAAATTTCGTGATATTGTTCTGCTGTTTCAAGTTCTAGTTTGGATTCTGCCAAACTTCGCAGCGCCCATTCTGAGGGTGATTTTTCTGGTAGAATGCACATTTTTACTGTTTTATGACCTTTCTCGCCTGTTAGGCATAGCTAAACCGACTTATAAAGGAAGTCGTGAGAGCTGATGGTCGATGGTGAACTGGTTGAAGTTGCAGGGCGTACAAATGCATTTTGCGGCTATGCGATGTAAGTTTGTAGAGTAGGTTTGCGGTTTCTAGGACGTAGATCCGTGCAGTAGGCTTTTACCGACGTTTTGGAAGCAAGAGGTTCATTCAGAGTGGGTGAACTACCTGCCTTCAAAACTAAGCAACAGTCTGTTAAGGCTACACAACGTGTAATAAGGCACTAAGCTTCATAACCTCTGCCGGCCTCTGCTGTGAGAACAATGAAATGCACGGCACTCTATAACTTCTATATCACTATAGTTTTATATATGTACAACTTCTATATCACAAGGATTCTTGTAAATCCATTTTCCACCCACAAAAGCATCGTGTGATAAGATAAAGGTTCAGCGTTATGAAAGATTCTGCACACTCTTGCAGCAGGATTGCCGAGAATCCTGCTACAGAGGGCTGAAGAAACATTTCCCGCTGAGACGGAATGGATGGTGAGTGTTTTGTGTTTGTGTGCATAGACAAGAATTTTCTTGTCATGAGTCAATTCTCATATCTTAAGAAACTAAACTATTTATGCCAAGCTTTTGTTAGTATTCATAATCTATCTGGGGAGTTTACTTGGTTCTTCACATTATAACAGTTTGGTATATTATGTAAGAGAGGGTTTAATTCAAAGCGAGTGATATGGGTAGGTCAAGTAGCACACATGTGAGAATGAAAAATGCTTACAAAGGTTTTGACAGAAGGCCTGAGAGAATGAGACAATTGTGAAGATGGATTTTAAAGGTACAATTATGGGGTTTTTGACTGGGTTTGTGTCAGGATGCAAAGTCATGATGGGCATGTGTGAACACAGTAATAAGTCCCTAGGTTCCAGAAAGAGCAGGTATGTATTGTCTGTACTTCCACAGTGACCCTAGGTTTCTCAAGAAGGTCCCTGCATTATGAACTTAACACTTCCTAGGATTATGAAGTCTTTAGAGAATAAATCTGTACAGAGCAGCTGCTGTGGGTTAGATGTAATGAGAAACAGCTACAGCAAGGAGACCATATATTGTTTTATGTGTGGTGTTGTACAGCCATGACTGATAGAAAATATGATGCCTTTACACAACTGTACCAATTCAGAGAAAGTTTTTGTTGGTCCATATGGGAGATATACCCAGCAAGTCATGATGGAAACCAGGCCATGAATATAAAAGCTGAGGCAGTCTCAGATGCAGAAGAGGAAGTGGATCCTCTGCAAATAACAGTTCAGGAAGTAAAGGCTGAACCTGAGGTGAGCTGTATGTTTCTGTATGTCCACTGTTAGGCAGATATTACAGGCAGGCAGGAATTCCAGTTGTCTTTCTCATCTTTGTCTGTCTGTGCACTTCAAACAACTCCACTGTGCTGCTTACTCGCCTTTGAAGGCCTATTTCTGAAGTGTCTCTAGACAGTTATAGTTTGTTGAATGTATGCTGCTTGTGATGTACCACTTCTGTTTCCTTTTAAGCAGTTCTGATGTAGGTGAAATTAAATTTTATGTAAATTGAACTGTATAGGGAGTCCATAGGGAGTCACAGAACTGTTTGCAGTTAGTTAACACATGTTAGAACCAAGAATTTAAGTTACTAGAACTCTTGTGAGCTAATTGCAATGAATCCCACAAGATATTTTTCATGTGATGAAGGTTACAAAAGATTCTGCACTCTCTTGCAACAAGAGTGGCAAGAATTGTACTGTATGGCGCCGAAGAAACGTTTCTTGCTGTGAGAGAAAGTACTGTGTTTCATGCTTGTATGCACAGACAAGAGTTTTATTTTCATATATCAGTTCTCTTCGTCAAAGAAACTAAATATTTAGTGACCCGCTTCTGTTTGTTTGCATAATCCATGTGTGGACCTCCTTACACTTGGGTGTTAATGGGTTGGGATATTATGTAGGAGAGCAATGAGTTTAAGGAGAGAGATGTGGGTAAGTCATGTAGTGCACATGCAACAGTGAGAAATGCATACAGAGAGAAGAAAAACTTGGGAGACCTGAGTGCAAATGGAACGTTGCTATTAAAATAGATTTTAAAGAAATAATTTGGAAGGGTTTGTACTGAGTCTGTTTGCCGCAGAATATGGAGCCATGTTGAACACAGTAGTGGGCCTTTTCTGGCTATCTCAACAAATCCTATATGCATTGCTCTTCTCCCCTATGCCTGCTATTTGAGCTGCCCATCTCATCCTCCATGACTTTAGCTTTTAGGTACAATAAATAACTTCATGGAGCTGAGTGAGTCCTTGAGAAGCCACCAGTTGCTTGGCCACTGAAGAATTTCCCAACATTGTATAGAACCTGGAAGTTTATTGACATGTTTGCAAAAACCCTTCACAAGTCCCTATCTTGAGCCATATGAATTCAGTCCACACCACCCCATCCTATATCTCTTAAAAATCCACTTAAATATCTTCCCACCTATGCCTAGGCCTTCCTAGTGGTCTCTTTCCTTCTCGGCAAATCCTATATGCATTCCTCTTCTCTCCCATGCCTGCTATATGAGCTGCCCATCTCATCCTCCTTCACTTGATCGTATAATTATGCTTGGTGAACGAAAGTTACAAGTTGTGGAGCTCTTCATTATGATGGTTTTAGGTACCAAAGAAAGCAGATATTTTCTGTACTGCTGCAGTCACCAATAGTTTCTCAGGAAGGTCACTGGGCTATGAACCGAGTACTTTCTAGTGATCATGATAGCTGTAGAGAAGAACATCTGTACAGAACAGCTCTTATGAATGAAATGTGATGAGAAACAGCCATAGCAAGGAAAGCATATGCTGTTTAATGTGTAGTGTTGTGCATCCATTTCTGAGAAGGATGTGATGGTTTTTACAGAGCTATAGAAATTCAGAGAACTCCTTAGTTAGTCCGTATGGTGAGACATACCCAACACCTCATGATGCAGATCAGGCCATGAATGTAAAAGCTGAGGCAGTCTCAGATGCAGAAGAGGAAGAGGATCCTNCCCCAAAAAAAAAATTTCTAGGCAACTGTAGTACGTTGAATGTTGTATGTGATGTACCACTCCACTAAACAGTGCTTTGTTACCACATCATAGAGTTCCCAGAATCTGTAAATGCTGAAGCTTATCATTTTTTTGTTTTCAGTCTTTGATGTAGTCTGTATCCATGTAATAACATAGAGCTGTCATTGTGCTGAGGATTTGTTATACATATATATATAGCATTCCATAGATCCTTATGTTAGTCAGAAAGACCATAGGATGTGGAATTAGTAAAAAAATCATACAATACATATAAACGAATAAATCAAACTTTTGCAAAAAATTTACCAATGAAAACAAAGCCACAATAGCAGTAAAAGTTTCAAAAAGTAGTGAAGTGTCAATAAACTCCATACATTACATACACTTTGGGTTATTCGAAAGCATACATTCCTCAACAGAATAAAAGGAGTGTGTAATTAAGTATATCTTTAGCGCTGCTTTAAATTGTGCCTGTTTATGTATAAGAGCTGTAATATTTGATGGTAGACTGTTGAAGATTTTAATGCCAGCATAATATGCACTCTTCTGGAAACATTGGAGGCTGGGAATTAGTCTGTGAAGCTGATTTTTATTCCTTGTGTTGACAGTGTGAATAGTAGAATTAGCTGGAAAGAATTCGTGGTTTTTTGCAATAAAGATCATTAGGGAGAATATGTATTCACATGGTAGAGTTAGGATTTCTAGTCTCTTAAAAAGATTTTTACATGAGTCTCTTGGTTTAACACCAGCCATTAATCTAACAATTTTCTTTTGTAAGATGAATATCTTTTTACTGTAAGATGAGATGCCCCAAAAGATTATACCATACTTAATTACAGAGTGAAAATAGGCAAAATAAATTGATTTGAGAGTCTCAGTATTGCTGACATGAGACATACAACTAACCGCATAGCAGGCTCCACTCAGCTTAGGAATCAACTTATCCATATGGTCTGACCAACTTAGGTGGCTATCAATTTGCAAGCCAAGGAATTTCATATTTACTGACTCTTCTATATATTGTAACGTGTTTCGTTACTGAATACGCCATAGAGATCGTTAATTGGTTTATTGAACAATCTACAAGTAACGGCTACAATTACTTATCACACAGTTGCGGGGTTTCACACTTTATAACCCTAATCGCATTAATCTGTTACCACTGTTACGGGGTTTCACGATTTATAACCCTATGCGCAAATCAGCTCACTCTGTGTTCAGTAGTCTACACGTTTACAGTAGGGGAGCTATGTATCACTGTATCACACACTCCCAATTACACAATCACACACACGTCCGGTTCTTCTTTCCGCGATGGCTGCTATACTCCAACTGTAGTCGGCTGACTGGAGAACTGTTGATAACACGCTCGCTCAACTACTACTGAACTCGGCGACTGCTGCTATATGTCAACTCAACTCGGCGACTGTTACGTTACAACTGACTCGTAGCTGCTGTGCAGTTCCCTTATATAGCCGCAGTGGTGCCTGTTGCGTGCCACGTCACAGTAGGAAGCGGTGCCGCGTCACCGTGTTTGCATATAGCCTAGCAACGCTGTTACCTCGCACCGTCTTACGTCACCGCGCGTTGCGCGTTACGTTACCGTGCGGAAGGGGGAGGGAAGCGCTGACTCATCCGCCACGTCACTGTGGCGTGCGTTGCCACGTTGCTGATGGGTAGGGAGGGGTTCTCCGTTGCGCAACATGTCACACTGCTCCCTCCTTAAGGCTGTTCGTCCCGAATAGCCTAACGGTGCATCCCCGTTCCTTTGCTTTGGAGGCTGTTCTTGCAGCATCTGTTCTCCGGCTGTTACAACCGCTCCCTTCTTAAGACCAACTCGTCTATAGCGGTTTCCTTTCAGCTCGCCAGAAGATCCAGTTGTATCCCATTCATCCATCGCTTTCTCCCATGGCACATTCACTCTCTCTGGGAAGGCCGGTTCTTTTACATTTCCGGTTCCTCCTCTGCTTGAAGTCTCTTTTTCGTTTTGGAGGGGGTCGTCCTCTCCATAAGGTCCATTCCTTGATCATTCCTTTCTTCGGAGTTTCCTTATGTCGACGTGACAGCTCTTGATGCGTTGTTTGCACTCGCTGACGTCGTTGTTCCTCCTGGTCTTCCAGCCGCTTGCTGGCACGAGACCGTGGCGCCAAGTCCTCTCTCCAGCATCCGAAGGTTCCCTGGGGAGTTTCCTTCTTGAAGGCATTTCTCCAACGTCGTGCCACTGTCGCGCGACGGGATGTCTTCCTGCAGGTGGCAGCCAACTTCTTCTGGGGTCCACTCTTTTCCCGCGTCGAATTCTTCATATTCTGCTTCTTTCGGTCCCTACGCCTTTTCTTCTTCTTCGGTTCTCCGACCGGCATTACTTCGGCGTATTGTATGGGTACCTCTCATAACCCTGCCGCCTCAGGTTTCCTGTTCGCTGAGGCCGGCTTTTCTCCTTCTGGACGTGCCTCTGTTTCTCGGCAGGCCATCGTCACTCTGACCGGTATCACTATGGGGACCTCCTCTTGTGCCGCCGCAGGTTTCGTGTCCACTGAGGCCGTCTTTCCTTCTTGTAGACGTGCCTCTATCTCTTGGCAGGCCGTCATCTCATTGTGGTTGGCATTCACCCTTTTGACAGTGAGTGCGTAGTGTGGGGGCCTTAATGCATATGCCGGCGTTCGCCCTTCTCCGCCGGCTGTCGCTCGTTTCCTGACGGTTGGATACCCTTCCTGTTCGTGTGTTCGTTATGCCTTCTTGGCAATTCCTGTGTGTATCTGCCTGGCCTATCTTCATGTTCTTGGCGCATTTCATTATTAGCCTTCCTTTCATAGGGGCAGTTATTCGCGAAGTGGCCCAGTTTTCCACAACTCCAGCACCCTGATTGCCTTCCATCTCCTCGTTGGGTGGCGGACGATCGGTACTTCCGGCATGTCTTGGTGCTATCTTCGTGAGGTCTAGCTGCTATCTGTACCGCTTGCAGCTCTAGTGCTTGTCGGAGGGCCTTGTTTACCTTCTTCTCACCTCCTAGCAGCAACTGGATCTTTATATAGGCATCTCGTATTCCGTATACGAGGGCTGTTCTTGCCTCTCTTCCTATGTGGTCTGCAGGTAGATTGGGGTAGGCACGATGGGAAAGCAGTTCAATGGCTGTGGCAAAGTCTTGCAGGGATTCTCCAGGTTTCTGGGTCCTTGTTCTTAATTAGCAGCGGTAGGCAGCTGCAAAGTGTTAGTCACCAAAACGGTCCTCTAGTACCTGAAGTGTTTCCTCATAAGGTGTATTTGTCGGAATGCCAGGTAGCACTTCTGCTGCCCGGCCCTTCAGAGCGGTGATGAGGTATGTTAATTTTACCCTGTCCGTCCATTGGTTGTGTTCTGCTACGGTCTCGAATTGTCGCCAGAACACTCTCCACGTCGAATTTCCGTTGAATGTCGGTGGCTGAGCCGTGCTTGCAACGATGTTTGATGTATTTCCCCGCTCGGCCTTCGTCTTTCTCGTCTCGTCCAACCGTGCCCGGAACCCGCGTTTGGCCTCCTCAATTGCTGCGCAGGTTTCATTGTAGTTTTTCGTTAAGTCTTCTTGAAGTTTTGTCGTTCGCGCGCAGAGGGACACTTCAATCTTCTCAGTTAGTTCCGACTTTAGAATCCGTTTGCCGTGTTCAGAGATGGCAAAACTGTTTTCAATTCTATGTTGGATTAACTCTTCCAACTCTGACCGCATACATTGCATATCTGCCTTCATTTCTTCCTTGTTGGCCTTCCTATCGGCCGCCTCCTTTTCTTGGTAGGCGTCTAATTTGGCCAGCATGATGTCTGCTTTACCTTGGTTGGCCCTCATCACTTTCAGCATATCCTCTTTGTCTTTCTTCCAATTTTCTTGCATGGCCTTCATTTCTTCCTGATGGGTTCGGAACATTTCTTGCATCTGCACGCGGTAGGTATCTGCTCTTACTTTGTTTTTCCGAATCTCCTTCAGCATTTCTTCCTTGTCGGCTTTTCTATTGGCCTCCGTCGTTTCGTGTTTCTCTCTGATTTCCTTCAGTAGAAGTTCCATCATTTGTTGTATCTCCATTTTGTAAAATTCTCTGAGGCGTATTTAAGCTCGTAAAAATTCTGACACCAAATTGTCACGTGTCTTGAGTTCGAAGCTCGTTGGTCACGTGTGTAAGTCCAAATCCCACTTCTGACACCAAT